AAGTATGATTTTGGCTGTGGGTTTGTCATATATGGCCTTTATTATGTTGAGGTACTTGCACTCTGTACCCATTTTGTTGAGGGTTTTTATCATGAATGGATGTTGAATTTTGTCCAATGTTTTTTCAGCATCTATGGAGATGAACATGTGGTTTTTATCATTCTTTTTGTTGCTGTGGTGGATGATGTTGATGGATTTTCAAATGTTATACCATCCTTGCATCCCTGAGATGAATCCCACCTGATCATGGTGTACGATTCTCTTTATGTATTTTTGAATTCAGTTTGCTAATTTTTTGTTGAGTATTTTTGCATCTATGTTCATCAGGTTTATTGGTCTGTAATTTTCTTTTTTTGTGACGTCTTTGCCTGGTTTTGGTATTAGAGTAATGCTGGCTTCATAGAGTGAGTTTGGAAGTATTCCCTCCTCTTCTATTTTTTGGAAAACTTTAAGGAGAATGGGTATTATGTCTTCTCTAAATGTCTGATCAAATTCGGCGGTGCATCCATCTGGTCTGGGGGTTTTGTTCTTGGGTAGTTTTTCGATTACCAATTCAATTTCATTGCTAGTATTTGGTCTGTTTAGATTTTCTGTTTCTTCCTTGGTCAGTCTTCCAAGGTTGTATTTTTCTAGGAAGTTGTCCATTTCTTCTAGTTTTCCAGCTTGTCAGCATATACGTTTTCATAGTATTCTCTAATAATTCTTTGTATTTCTATGGTGTCCATAGTGATTTTTCCTTTCTCATTTCTTATTCTGTTTATGTGTGTAATAGATTCTCTTTTTCTCTTAATTAGTCTGGCTAGAGGTTTATCTGTTTATTTTCTCAAAGAAACAGCACTTGGTTTTGTTGATTTTTTCCTATTGTTTTATTCTTCTTAATTGTATTTATTTCTCCTCTGTTCTTTAATAATCTCCCTTCTTCTGCTGACTTTGGGCCTCATTTGTTCTTCTTTTTCCAGTTTCAGTAATTGTGAGCTTAGACTATTCATTTGGGGTTGTTCTTCCTTCTTTAAATATGCCTGGATTCTTATATACTTTCCTCTTAGACCTGCCTTCTCTGCATCCTACAGAAGTTGGGGCATTGTGCTGTTGTTGTCATTTGTGTCCATATATTGCTTGACCTCTATTTTAATTTGGTCATTGATCCATTGATTATTTAGGAGCATGTTGTTAAGCCTCCATGTGTTTGTGAGCCTTTTTTTTCTTTGTTCAATATATTTCTAGTTTTATACCTTTGTGATCTCAGAAGTTGGTTGCTAGAATTTTAATCTTTTTTAATTTACTGAGGCTCTTTTTGTGGCCTAGTATGTGTTCTGTTCTGCAAAATGTTCCATGTGCACTTGAGAGGAATGTGTATCCTGCTGCTTTTGGATGTAGAGTTCTATGGATGTCTGTTAAGTCCATCTGTTCCAGTGTGTTGCTAAGTGCCTCTGTGTCCTTACTTATTTTCTGTCTGGTTGATCTGTCCTTTGGAGTGAGTGGTGTGTTGAACTCTCCGAAAATGAATCATTGTATTCTATTTCCTCCTTTAATTAGTATTTGTTTCACATATGTCAGTGCTCCTGTGTTGGGTGCATATATATTTATAATAGTTATATCCTCTTGCTGGAGTGACCCCGTTATCATTATGTAATGTCCTTTATCTCTTGTTACTTTCTTTGTTCTGATGTCTATTTTGTCTGCTACAAGTACTACAACACCTACTTTTTTCTCCCTATTTGCATGAAATATCTTTTTCCATCCCTTCACTTTTAGTCTATGATGATTCTTTATTTCTCTCCCTTCTTATTCTTCCTCTTCCACTCTTTATATGTTAGGTGTTTTATTGTGTACTCTTTTGTGTTTCCTTTGACTGCTTTTGTGGATAGTTAGTTTTTTTTTTTTGTTTTTTGTTTTTGTCTTTAGTTAGTATTTGTTTGGTCTGCTTTCTTTGCTGTGATTTTATTTTCTCTGGTGACATCTATTTAGCCTTAGGAGTGCTTCCATCTAGAGCAGTCCCTTTAAAATATCCTGTAGAGGTGGTTTGTGGGAGGCAAATTCCCTCAAGTTGTGCTTGTCTGGAAATTGTTTAATCCCTCCTTCACATTTAAATGATAATCGTGCTGGATACAGTATTCTTGGTTCAAAGCCCTTCCTTTTCATTGCATTAAATATATCATGCCGTCCTCTTCTGGCCTGTAAGGTTTCTTTTGAGAAGTTTGATGATAGCCTGATGGGTTTTCCTTTGTAGGTGATCTGTTTTCACTCTGTGACTGCCTTTAATACCCTGTCCTTGTCTTTGATCTTTGCCATTTTAATTATTATATGTCTTGGTGTTGTCCTCCTTGGGTCCCATGTGTTGGGAGATCTGTGGGCTTCCATGGTCTACAAGACTATTTTCTTCCCCAGCTTGGGAAAGTTTTCAGCAATTATTTCCTCAAAGACACTTTCTACCCCCTTTTCTTTCTCTTCTTCTTCTGGTGGTTTGTGGGAGGCAAATTCCGTATAATGCAAATATTGTTCCATTTGTATTGGTCACACAGTTCTCTTAATATTCTTTTATTCCTAGAGATAGTTTTATCTCTCTCTGCCTCAGCTTCTCTGTATTACTGTTCTCTGATTTCTATTCCATTAGCAGTGTTTTGCACCTCATTCAGTCTGCTCTTAAGTCCTTCTATCGATAAGTCCTTCTATCGATTGTTTCATTTCTGTTATTTCTCTCCAGACTTCATCCCTTAGCTCTTGCATATTTCTCTGCAGCTCAATCAGCATGGTTATGACTTTTATTTTGAATTCTTTTTCAGGAAGATTGGTTATATATCTATCTTGCTAGGCCCTCTCTCTGCGGTTGTTTGAGTTATTCTTGACTGGACCATGTTTTTCTGCCTTTTCATGGTGATAGAAGTGATTGCAAGCAGGTGGCATGTGTGTCAACTGGAAGAACAAAGTCCCTTCCTGCCTGCAGGTCACCTTGCCGTTCTCCAGTGCCTGTGCCGGTTACCCGCACACAGGGAGCAGTCTCTGGGTTGATATCCTGAGTAGCCGTAAGTGGGGTGGCCGTCGGGATAGCCTTGGGCACTGCAGAGGTTCGCAGATGTGCCCGGTGTGTTCTCCTCCACGAATGGCACCCCTTCATGCCTTCTGGACCTTGCCCTGGCTTCCTCTGTCTGTGCTGGGCAGCTGCACGCCACCATCACCCTCTGTGTCTGTCCCAGTTAGCTGCTCTCTGAGAAGAGACTCTGTGTGGTTGCTGTGGGTGGGACTGCTCCCCGGCTGCTCCACAGCAGTGGTGGGTCAGCCAGTTTGCTTGCATTGCTGGTGGCGGGATTGAACATCAGGCTCCTTATCACCTGCATTGCCACCCAGGGGGTTAGGGCACCTGAAGTTCCTTAGATTCCCAGCCTGCTGGGCTGAATGTACCGGGTCGATTTTGTCCACCTGTTAAACCCTTGTCCCTTTAAGACTTTTAAAGTGCTGGCTTTTCTTTTGTCCCATGGGAGCTGGCTGTGGGGACCTGCTCACAGTCTCCTTCTCAGATTTTACTTTTAAGTTTCTGTAATATCCAGTACACTATGCGATGTGTGTCTGTGCTCCTAGTGCAGATTACTAGGACTGGTTATATAGCAGTCCTGTGCTTCTACTCCTTCTCCACTCTGATTCGTTTCCTCCTGCTGGTGAGCTGGGTGGGTGGAATGCTCAGGTCCCTCTGGGTCATGGCTTTGTATCTTACCCTTTTTGTGAGATGCTGAGTTCTCGCAAATGTAGATGTAGCCTGTCTGTTGTACTGCATATTATGGTCTCTCTTTTAGGAGTAGTTGTATTTGCTGTATTTTCAAAAATATATATGATTTTGGGAGGAGATTTCCACCACCCTACTCAACGCTGCCATCTTGAGCAATCACCCCTTACAATGTACTCTTTATCGTAGAGGTTATGTTGGTCAGCCTCTCACTCGGAACCTCATGTAGGCTCAAGGTCTCTCCTTCTGTTCTTCACTTATATGTTAAAATTTAAGTACCTAGAAAATGAAAACCAGCAATTCCCCAACAACACTCCTAATGATTATCACCCTGGCTCTCAACCATTTCTTGATTATTGGCCCCTAAGAACTTTAAAAGCTCATTTGTATGATTATAAAAGTAGTTGTTGTATTTTTTCTAATATTGTCAAGAATTTGTAATGGAAGAGTTTTCAAGTTACTTAATCTCAGTATTGCCAAAGAGGAAATCTATTCTAATAATTAATTAAGAATGGTAGTGTATTCTAGAAAATCTAGAATATTAACCATTATTTTGCCTTGAGAATGTTCATTTTTTGATGTTCTTTTAAAACATACAAAGAACCAGTATTCTGCTTTGGGGCACCTTACCAGGGTATGTGCCCAGGGTCTTTCTTAGCTATATCTAACTTGCCATAATTATATGCACAACTATTTACCTCTATTGGAACTTTATTTTTTGAAGGATAAGTTTTCCCCCTTTATAGATTCTTAAAAATAATAGTTAGTTTGCTGAACATTATTAACATTTATTTCCTTAGTTTTCCATTAAGGTTTAAATGTTTCAGTATAATCTCCAGGCTGCTCATAGTTATTACCTAGGGTTTTTTTTTTAGGTTCTTTTATTCCTCTCCCTAACTAATTATAGAATTTTCACAGTTCAATTTTTTTATGTACATGTTGGACAGATAATATCAATAATGAGAATGTTCTAAAATAAATATACAATTTGTTGTTAATGGCTGTGGTGGTCAAATGATGTTGTTACCCTAAATGTAGTTAATTAAGTAGCAGATTTAATAAAGTACTAAAATGTTATGAAATCTGGAGAACTATTAGTGTGGAGATTATATAAAATTTAACCTATATGTGCAAGGTTCATGTACAAATTCAGATAGTGGCAGTTTTAGTTGTTAATGAGATAACATCTATTGTGTATCTAAGTAAATGTAAACATTTTAATATAAAAATGATTGTTTGTTTCTAATGTAGTAGATCGCTAAAAACATGTGAACTTCTTCAGGTCCAGTCCTCAGTGGCTGTTGGAACTCCAGATTATATCTCTCCTGAAATCCTTCAAGCCATGGAAGATGGAAAAGGCAGATATGGACCTGAGTGTGACTGGTGGTCTTTGGGGGTCTGTATGTATGAAATGCTTTATGGAGAAACACCATTTTATGCAGAATCTCTGGTGGAGACATATGGAAAAATCATGAATCACAAAGTTAGTATATTTTACTGTTTTTCAAATTAATGTAAATAATACATATAATAAATTTAAAGTAATTATTTTTCTAAAAACAAGAAGCAGTCTCATTTTTATGCTAATAAGGGACATGACAAACATGAATAACCAACGTCCATAAATTATACATAGATTTATTAGTTCTCAGCTTCTGTATTTTATTAGAGATGATAATAAATAGGAAATTTAAATGGTCCCTCCAGTAAAATAACAAAGATCATAAGCAGACAATTTACATCATTATTACACTAGTATAATGTGAATAGAGTGCATTTAAAAAACTCTCAACCTTAGTAGTAATAAATAAAATGCAAATTAAAATAAGAATGAGATACTTTTTTCTTCCCTGGCAAAGATGAAAAGAAAAATAGTACTCTGTACTGTAAATAATTCAGCAAGATGGACATTTTTAGACATTGTTGATAGTAACATAAATTGATGTAACATTTCTGTCAGTAAGTTTCTAAGTATGCACCTAGAGTATTAAAAAAATGGTCAGAACTTTTCACTGAGCAACTTCAATTCTAGGACTCTACCCTAAGGAAATATTCAGTAGAACAAATATGTAATACAAGGATACCTATTCAGTATTGTATATGATCACAAAACACTGGAAACAATCCAGATGCACAGAAGGTATAAATTAATAAAATAATCCATTTAGTACCAAATGAAATATAAGTAGATTGTGCATAAAGAGAAAAGAAAGGTTTTGAATGATTGGTCTCAGAAGATCATGGGCAATTGCAAAAACTGTAATATGAACAGGAAGATCCCAAAAGTAGAGTGGCAGTCTATCCTTTACTTTGGTCTGGTGATACACTTATGATTAGCTGCTTCCCATAAATGAATACATCAGTTTTATAGAGTTGATTCTTTTCTACCTGGCTACAAAGATAACCTGCTAAATAGTTATAGAGATTTGAAAGACAGGAAATGGCAACAAAGTTGTAAATAGCACTTACAGGATTTCAGAAAGAAATCATTGAACTGTAACATGGTTCTTCACAGAACCTGGAGCCAGACAGCTTCAGTTCAGATCCCAGCTCTGCCATTTTCTAGTTGTGTTACCTTGAGTGAATGGCTTGATCTTTGTGCCTTTGTTTCTTCATTTGTAAAATTAAGCTAATGGTTGTACCTACCTGAGATGATTGCTCTGAGGATTGAGTTAAATGAGTGGAGCACTTACAGAAATATCAAGCACATGTTACATTCTTTACAAATGTTTATTATTATTACTTTGTCATTAGTATGTGACTTCTATGACCATTATCTGTCATCTATACCCTAATGAAATATTGAATCAAACTCTTGCTATTTGTAATGAATCCTTTTAATTATGACAGCAGTTCAAAGTATTTTAGCATTTAACTTATTCTTTCTACAGCTCTTGTATGACTAAGTCACATATGAAAAGAAAACTTGTTTTAAGAAAATGATCTTGCTCATCCCTGTATCTCCCTTGGTATCAATACTTTATACTAATATCCACTTACTAGATATATTTTAAAGAAAATGTATTCTTAAGAAAATAAGTATTAACTGTCCTACTTAGTAAGTTAAATACTGATTTATATTTTGTTTCTAATATTCTATGTTTAGGAAAGGTTTCAGTTTCCAGTTCAAGTGACTGATGTGTCTGAAAATGCCAAAGATCTTATTCGAAGGCTTATTTGTAGCAGAGAACATCGACTTGGTCAAAATGGAATAGAAGACTTTAAGAAACACCCATTTTTCAGTGGAATCGATTGGGATAATATTCGAAACTGTGAAGCACCTTATATTCCAGAAGTTAGTAGCCCAACAGATACATCAAATTTTGATGTGGATGATGACTGTTTAAAGAATTCTGTAAGTATGGCAGTGTGAAGTGCTGTCACTATTTCTTTTTAATGTGGTTATAAAGTAATTTTATGGGCCATCTTGTCCGTTATCAGTCAGACAGTTATCATGGCTTCTAATATTTATTCTCTCAAAAATCAAGAAATTAAGCATTAACTGAGGTGAATGTTGTTATTCATGACAAGGAACTAAATTAAAATTAAAAGACTTACTCTTTAGATTAATTGTGCTATCAGGTTTCCTAGGAAAAGGCCACGTAGATGTGAAAAAAAAATAGACTTTGTGATGGCATAGGGAAAAAGTTGGCAGATTTCTCCTTAAAAACCACCATTAAACTGGACAAAGTTATCAAAAACAACCATTTCAAGGGCTTGACAAATCAACCCAAGAAACTGAGAAGCATTTACTCATGAAAAACTGCTGCACTTTGGTTAGAAACATTCCCTGACCCTCAGTGGGACAGTAGAGCTGCTAGTGTGGAGCTGCTTATAAAAACCAGCAGCCTTCGTGCCAGACTCACTGACTTGATTCAGAAAGCTAAATCCCCACACCCAGTGGTGTTGCTACTAAGAGTAACAAACTTGACAGGAAATGGGTGGGCAGAGAAGATCTACAGCCTTACTGGCCTGAAGTTAGCCCTGTTTCAGGGAAGTGGCAGACCGGCAGACTGCATAATATTCATTTGTTGTTAGCTTGTGAGCCATGCTAAAACAGGCCAGCATAGCTGTCAACCAATATCCTAAACCATTAGGTTATATTAAATTCAAATTCAGGACAATGAGAATATATAATTTTTATGTTTTTTGCCTTTTTAGCCTTCTCAATTTGAACTTTGTTTTTATTCAATGATATTATTTCTTTATCATTTTAATTATGCACTAAGAATTCTTATATTAATTTTATATTACATTTCACTGTTCGGTAAGTACCATCAAGGCAGATAAGAACTTCTCATGCTTTCCTCTTTGGACCACACAGGAAAGAATTAAATGGACTTTTCTCATCAGTTCGTTCTTAGAAGAATTACATTTATTGTTAACAAGTTGTGAGTCATTCCAAATTAAATACATGGTAGAGCTGATTCTGATTATTTGCAGTAGTTATGTTTAATAACGTTGCCATGACCACTGTATTAGTGAATGTGAAACCATGGCTCCTAGGGGAAATAAAGGGCTAGAGTACTGTTAGCCTCTGGTCATGACAGTTTAATCAGCTGATCAATACATAACCTTGTTTTATGTGTGTTTCTATTTAAAGACACCTTATTTAATAAATATTGTTGACTAGTTAACACTGAACTCATGGCCATCAGCACTGTAGCTCAAGCTTGAATGAAGTTTATCTAACACACATTTTTTTGTAAGAAGGCACATCACAGCCTTTTTAGGAACAGTAGTTGGCACTTTAGCACTATGCTAGGTGCCATTTTAAACAGAGAAATCATCCATAAAAAGCATGAATATTCAAAAAACATGGCTTACCAGACCTTGACAAGAACACTTGTTTGCAGTATGAGAGCTGAATCAAGAAGGCAGAGCGTCTCCTTGTTCAGCCCCAGCTGGGAACATGGGTATAGGGCAACTCAAATTTTTCTTTGCTCTGCGCATGTCTGCCAGTGACCACGAAAGTACTATGAGTATTATGTGTAGTTAAAAAAAGTTTTAGGGATCAGGCACATTTGCAAATATGAAATGCATAATGATTGTACTCTCAATACCAGACTTCATCTGTAATTTCATTTTATTAGAATTTTCTAATAGCTGTGTTCATGTTCTAAATTTTATATCACCAAACATTGGTACCAAACTTATAAATGTTAGATTGACTTATCACATATTCCCTATTGCCAGTTAATATTTCTAGCCCAACCTACAGGTCATAGTATTTTCTTAACAGATATTCTTCCTCTTTTAGGAAACGATGCCCCCACCAACACACACTGCATTTTCTGGTCACCATCTGCCATTTGTTGGTTTTACATATACCAGTAGCTGGTAAGTTTGAAAAGTTAACCTAATTTGGACAATTTAGAGCAGATTAAAATAAATTGAGGTTTTAAAAAATAATAATAGAGCCTTGTAAATAAAAACATTTTCTAAACAGAATAAAGCTTCTGCTGGGAAAAGTTAGACATTACGAAATGAATAATCATGTGAGAATCTTAACTCATTTTGGAGGGGAAGGGTGAGGACAGGTAGAGAGCTGAATGAAGCTTAGATTTAACTATGGACGATGGAGCAGGCATTAGAAGAGCCTGTGCTCTTGAATGAGTATTCTCTAGTTGTCATGCTTCAGAGCTCTCAGCCCATCTGCCTCAACCATCTTTTCACTGACCCTTGTTACCCTCCTTACCCGGTTTAGATTCCTTGAGAATAATTATAGTCTCTCCTGTGTACCCCTTAACTCTTTGACTGTCTCTCATTCTGTTACACTAACAGGTTTGCTAAGTCGACATTCATTACCACAGTTCAGTTTTCTACCTGTACCTGTGCAATTCAGAGTATCTAGAAAAAGTATCCAGTCATTACTGGTTTCACCTTAAGTCCATGATTACCAAACTCATGCGCCCCTTACTGCTTGCCTAGCAAATTACTAAACTACCCAAGCCTATTCACTTGTTAAGTACTTCATACTTCTACTTTCCTCTGAAGCATCTCTCATTGTCACTCTCACCTGATTATCTTGCTTTCTGTTTCTCCAAGAGATGGAAGCAAAGAGCAACTTGTGCAGGCTTCCATTACCACGTGTGCCTCCTGCAGATCGGGACCTATCTGTCCTGTCTGGGTGAGCTGTGTGAGCTGAGGCCCACCGCCTCTGCCACTTCTTGCCTCCTCTAGTGCATTGCTCTCTCTTATATCATGTTTCCCTTTCTGTGTCACGTGTGTGATCAGATCATTCCCATCAGCTCACAACTGCAGTTTTCTCTCCCATCTTAAAGCAAAATAATGAAATCTCTCTTACTTCCACATTCTTTACCTGCTACCAACCATTATATGTGTCCTCTCCACTTTATAGTGAAGTTACTTCAAATTGTCTATATTTTGCTCATTTTTCTGTCACTCTTCTTTCTTGGCACCACTCTGCTCAGATTTGACTCTCATCACTTCATGCAAACTGCATTTATTGATGTCACCATGGACCTCCACCTTGCTAAATTCGGTGATCATTTCTGAGTCCTAGTCAAATTATTTGCCTGGTTTCAACTTGTCATGGCTCCTTCCCATGGTAACATTCTTTTCCCTTAGCTTCCTGGGCACTTGCCTGATTTCTCCTGAGCTTTCTGGCCACTCTCATGTCTTCACTTCTGATGCCTCCTAATCTCCCTGTGTGCCATGCTCAGTCTTTTAATCTTTTTCACTTACACACTCTGTGGCACTCTACCAGATATCTGCTGATGACTCCTAAATGTGTCTCTCCAGCTGAGACCTCTCGCCTCTCTTTTACTTGAAATCTCTCTTAATCACCTACTTCATACGTTTATGACATTGTTTCTTTCATTTTTGTGAACCCATCTGAGAGATCCTGCTAAAAGATTACTCAGAACATGTCACTCCCCTGTTCAAAATCAGTGCCCCAAGTTCCCCAAGTGCAGGAGCCTCATGGCTTAACTCCAAACCCAAGTCCTTATTAAGACCCTAGATGACTGGCTCACGTCATTTTTCAGACTCTTTCCTGCTGCTCTTTGCCTTGCTCACTTCACTCCTGCCTCATGAACATGCCAGGCGTACTCTTCCCAGGGATTCTTTTCTTTTTTTCCAACTGTCTAGGATGCTTTCCCCCCCTAAAATTCCCTTGGCTGGTCCTCTTCCTGTCTTTGGACTTTATTCAGTTACTTTGTGAGTGATGACTTTCCTTACCACTTTATCTGAAGTTTTATTTCTCCCCCTAAATACTTAATTTCCCCCTTGCCTGCTTTAGTTTTCTCATTGGCGTTTAACTCTAATGTACTGAATATTTTGCTTTTTTGTCTTATCTGTTTCTGTCTCTGTTACTGGAATATAAACTCTGTATGGGCAAGTTTTGTCTGTTCACTTCTCAATGTCCAACACTTCAAATATTAGTATTTAAGTTGTATCAAAGACAATATTTCACTTCTGAATCCCAGATGCTGGTGAGAAGGGACCATGGTTGGTGTCTCTTGACTGTTTGACTTCGGTGGTCATGTTGTTTTGAACTACCAATAGCCCTTCAGCAAACTTCATTTTATAGTTTTTGGTTATTAAAAGAAAGTCAAGATAGTTTGGGCAATTCATGTTTTCACTTTTAAAAGTGCTTCTAAAAAGTAATTTATGGTGATTTTACAAAAAAATACATTTACAGTTGTTCTGGATTGTTAACTAACTAGATATTCAAATAAATCCATGTTTTAAATGAACAATTTCAAAAGGTTATCTTTTTTCTTAAACTATTTATTTCATTGTAAGGCCATATTTTTTTTCTTTTTTCCAGTGTTCTTTCTGATAGGAGCTGTTTAAGAGTTACTGCTGGTCCCACATCACTGGATCTTGATGTTAATGTTCAGAGGACTCTAGATAACAACTTAGCAACAGAGGCTTATGAAAGAAGAATTAAGCGCCTTGAGCAGGAAAAACTTGAACTTAGTAGAAAGCTTCAAGGTAAATTTATTTATTATTTTTAAAAATCTTTTAAAAAATTTTTATTGAAGGACATACAGTAAGATGCACAAATGTTAGTGTACAGCTGGTTGTATTTTGATGTGTTTACATACACATGTAACCATTACCTAGATCAAGATATCAAACGTTCTCAATAGTTTTTATGCTCACCCCTAAATATGTTTTAAAGATAGTGCTGTCCCTTTCTGAGATGGACTCAAAGTGTTAGGAACTGTTTATTATAACTGGTTGTTCTATCTTGAAAATTCATTAAGTGGGAAAAAGTTGTAGAAATTCATGCCTAATATAGTATAATACCATCCATGTAAACCCATAAAATTTGTGACTATCATATTTCCTCAGTCCTTAAAAGTTCTGGCTCCTAGCAAGCTGTCATTCTATATATCATCGCTCATGATGGAATATTTGGTGATTTAAAAATGCACATTGGCAAACCTTTTAATGTTCTGACTTTTGGTCTCTTGCTTCTTCACTTTCAATGATCTTGCCCTGCACGCTACTTCATCCTCTCCTGCTTGTGGTAGTAACATACATGTTGAGATTACTGTATCTCAAAGTCTTTATTAATTTCACTTTCAAGCAAACCTCCATAATCTCCTGCTCATGATACTCCTGTTAACTCCTTTAGTCTCTTCCCTGTTCCTCTTACACTCTAATTCCTCTCCGTGGTCTGAGTCATCCCCACACATAACCTCAGAGTGATAGCCCTCCTTCCCTGTATCCCCTTTGCCAGAACCCAGCTGTCTTTAAATGTATTATGTTTGCAACTCTGCAGTTGAAGGTAGCTTAGAGCACATAGTGCGCTGACTAGTCCCACCTTAAATTCACAACTAATAGCTGACTACTGCTGCCCAGCAATCCTGCTTCCTTAGCTGGTGTCCCTGCCCTGTATTGCAGAATTCAGTGGTCATTTCCCAGCCCTCACCTTTTAGCCTATTAGCATCTGACCTGTTGGCCATGACTCTCTCTTCTTTCTTCTTTTGGCTTCCAGGACACTTAAATCTCTTGGCTTTCTTTTTCCATATAAACCAGTTGTTCTCAGGCTCATTTGCTAATTTCTCCTTACCCCTTTGACCTCTGAATGTTAGGGTACTCCAGAGTACTCCATGCTTTTTGTTGTTCAGAACTGTTAATTCTCTTATACTTCACATCTGAACCATCACAATTGATCTAGCATCTGATTCTCACTCACTGTGGCACTACCACACCGTTTCAAATCACTATCAACTCCCACCTATATTATTTTAATAATTTAAATAACAATAAAAAGTTATGTGATAACTTCTAATTGGCTTCCCTGCCTTACCTCTCCCCCATGAACCTCCCCCTTTCTACAGTCTGTTTTCAATGAAAAAGCCAAGTAATCCTGTTAAAACACAATTTAGATCATTGTGGTGGCTTTCCATCTACTTTCAGGTTCCTGGACCCTGTATGTGTGTGCATGAGAGGGAGGTTTTCTATGCACAACCCCAAGCAATTCTCCAGCACCATCCGGGTGTCTGAGAACTCAATGCAGTTCTGACACTCTGCCTGGAGACAGCACCAGATTCCCCAGGTTAAGGGCTCTGTCCTGCAAGATTCCCCTCCCCGCCCCCGACTCCAGATGCCAGTTGCAAGCCCCAGGCTCTTACCTATGCTTCTGACTTACCAGCTACAGATTGGAGGTTCCAGTGACCTTCCCCTTAGGTTTAATTCATTTTCTAGAGGCTCACAGAACTCAGGAAAATTATGTTTGTCAACGTAATAAAGGATACGAGTTAACAGCCAGATGAAAAGATACATAGGGCAAGGTCCCAAATAAAGGAGCACATGTCTGCCAGTGACATGGAATTTGGGGCCTGGCTATATGGCACGTGGAAGCCTTCTTTAGAGAAGCAAGATGCAAAAAAATAGCAAAGTGTTCTTTTCTTGGGTTTTGGTGAGGGCTTCATTGCATAGTCATGATTGACAAAGTCATGGGCCATCGACTGACTCAACCTCTAGCCCCTCGGCTTTCTCCCTTCCCCAGAGGTTGGAGGATAGGGGCTGCAAGTTCCCATCCTCTGATCCCTGGGCAACCAGCCCTGAACCTCGGATGTGGTCAAAAGACTCTCTACTAACGTAACAAGACACCCATTTGACCTTAGAGCTCTGAAGCTTTTTTTTCTTTTTAGGAACTGTGGATGAAGACCAAATATATCTAAGAAATATATTTTAGTCATCTGAATGAGCAAATATATTATTATAATTCATTATGTTGAACCTTCTCACTCGCATTAACAGTCAAACTCATTTCATTGCCCTAATGTTATATTTTTATAACCTTATTACCTTTATGACTTCATTCCCTACCACTGTCCCCTCTGTTTTTTCTGTTCCAGCCACCCTGGGCTCCTTGGTTGGTGTTTTCACAAACTGGGGAGATCCCCACCTCAGGGCCTTTGCATTAGCTGTTACCCTGCCTTAAATGTTCTTCCTTTGGTATTTGTGGGACTCATTCTCTTACCTCCTTTGGGTTTCTGCTTGAAGGTTACCTTTCAGTGAGGCCTTTCCTGACCACTCTAAGATTTAATCTGGCTTAATTCCCAACACCATCTCCATTTCCTGCTTTATTTTCTCCAAAATAAAGGATGTTACATACAGTGTGTTTTACTTACTCATTTTGTGAGTGAAGGACTGTATGTATAAATAAACAAGATATTTGTAACTCTTCAGAGAGAAAAAATCAGAGTTTTGCAGTAATAAAATTTTGCCATTATCCTTTTAGAGACCCAGGGGAGAAAAATGAACTATAGACATCTATAAAACAGACTGTTTCCTGTTTTTCATTAAGTTGTTAAAATCTCTGCATGCGAATTATTTCTTCTTTATGACTTTAGTTGTTTTAATTTTTTAATTAAACATATGTAACATATAACATTGTATATTAAAGTGTATAGTGTATTAATTTGATATTATACATGTAATGTGATTGCTTCTGGTTTACTTAGCACTTATGTCACATTCCATAATTACAGTGCAGTATTATCTAAATCCATTATACTGTGCATTGGAGCTCTATGGCTTATTCATTACTTATTCCAAGTATGTACCCTTAAACTACATCAGTCTTATCACGCCACCCCCATTCCATGGTAACCACCATTTTACTCTGTTTTTTTTTCTACAAGTTTGGCTTTTATAAATTATACATACAAGTGCTATCATATAATACTTTTCTTTATCTGTCTGACTCCTCTCATTTAGCATAGTGTGCTCAGGATCCCTTCATATTGTTGCAAATGGCAGGATATCCTCCTTTCTCCTGGTTGAATAATATCTCATTGTATCGATATACACTGCATCTTTTTTATCCATTCATCCATTGATGTGCAGTTAGGTTGTTTCCACATCTCAGCTATTGTGAATAATGCTTCAGTAAAAAATGGAGTGCATCTGTCTCTTTGAAATCCTGTTTTCATTTTTGGTTATATAACTAAAAGTGGAACTGCTGGATTGTACGGCAGATAATATTTTTAATGTTTTAAGGAACCTTCATATTGTTTTCCATAGTGATTGGACCAATTTACATTCCTACCAACAATGTACAAGAACATCATAATGGCCAACAGGACATCAATAATTTTTCTTTCACCACATCTTTGACAGCATCTGCTGTGTTTTGTCTTCTTGATGATAGCCATTCTAAGGTGTGTGGTGATACCTCACTGTGGTTTTGATTTGCATTTCCTTGATGATTAGTGATATTGAGCATGTTGAAAAATGTGCCTGTTGGCCATTTTGATGTCCTCTGTGGAAAAATGTCTACTTAGTTCTGCCCATTTTTTAAATCAGACTGTTTGCTTTTCTGTTAAGTAGTATCAATTCTTTATATATTTTGATATTAGCCCCTTATCTTCTATAGGATTTGTAAATGTCTCCCATTCTGTAGGTTTTTTCATCTTCTCAATTGTTTTGGTTTTTTTTTTTTTGCTTTAGAGAAGCTTTTGAATTTGATAGTCCCATTTGTTGATTTTTGCTTTTGTTGTTTGTGCTTTTGGTGTCATATCCAAAAAATCATTACCAAGACCAATGCTGAGGAGTTTCTTACCTCTGTTTTCTTCTAAGAGTTTTATGGCATCAGGTCTTATGTTTAAGTCTTTGATCCATTTTGAGTTAATTTTTGTGAGTAGTGTGAGATAAGGGTTTAATTTCATTGTTCTGCATTGGTTTCTCCAGTTTTCCCAGCACCTTTTGTTGACGAGACTATCCTTTCCCCACTGAGTGTTCATGGCTCTCTAGTTAATATCAGTTGATTGTATATGCTGGGATTTAATTCTGGGTTATCTATTCTGCTCCATGAAGCTATGTGTCTTTTTTGTGCTGGTACTATACTGTTTGTATTACTGTGCCTTTGTAGTATAATTTGAAATCAGGGCACATACCTCCACCTTTCTTCTTTTTCCTAAGGATTACTTTGACTATTAAGGTCTTACGTTGCACATAAATTCTAAGGTTGTTCTGTGAAGAATGGCTTTGGTATTTTGATGGATACTGTGTTGAATTTATACATGGCTTTTGGTAGTAAGGACATTTTAACAATATGGGATGTGTTTCCATTTGTTTATGTTTTCTTTCATTTCTTTCAGCAGAGTCTTGCAATTTTCATTGTATAGATCTTAGTTTAACTTTATTCCCGAGTATTTTATTGGTTTTGATGCTATTTTGAATGACATAGTTTTCCTTATTTCTTTTTCAGATGTTTCCATGTAAAGGAATTCAACTGATATCTAATCCCACAACTTTACTAAAATTGTTGATTAGTTCCAACAGTTCTTTGGCTGACTCTTTGGGATTTTGTGTGTATAAAAATCATATCATTAGTAGTAGTGGCAGTTTTACTTGTTTCTTTCTAATCTGGATTCCTTTTCTTTCTTTCTATGGCCTAGTTGCTCTAGCTAGGACTTCCAGTACTTAGTTGAATGAAAGTGGTGAGTGTGGGCATCCTTGTCTTGTTCTGATTTTAAAGAAAAGCTTTCTGTTTTTCTCCATTGAGTATGTTAGCTGTGGGTTTGTTGTATATGGCCTTTAATTATGTTGAGGTATATTCCTTATATATCTACTTTGTTAAGGGTTTTTAACATAATAGGATGCTGTATTTTGTCAAATGTTTTTCCTCCATCTATTGAGATGATCATGTGATTTTTTTCCTTTAATTTTATTGATGCAGTATATTACATTTATTGATTTGTATATGTTTAACCATCCTTGTATCCCAGGGATAAATCCTTGATAATGGAGTATAATCCTTTTAATGTGTTCCTGAATTTAGTTTGCTAATATTTTGTTGAGAATTTTTACTTCTGTAATCATTGGGGATATTGATCTATAGTTTTCTTGTCATCTTATCTGGTTTTGGTGTCAAGGTAATGCTGGCATCAAAGAATGAATTTGGAGGTGTTCCCTCCTTGATATTTTGGAAGAGTTGAGGAGGATTGATATTAATTCTTCTTTACTTTTTTGACAGAATTCATTGGTAAGGCTGTCTAGTTCTGGGATTTTCTGTTTAAGAGGTTTTTAGTTATAGATTCAATCTCTTTACTCATTATTGGACTATTCAGATTTTCTCCTTTCTAATTCAGCCTTGGTAGGTTGGGTATTTCTAGAAATGTATGCATTTCTTCTAGGTTATGTAATTTCTTGCAAGTTATTGTTCATAGCAGTCTATTATGATCCTGTGTACTTCTGTAGAATCAGTTGTAATGTCTCCTCTTTCATTTTTAATTTTATTTATTTATGTCTTCTTTTTTTCTTACTCTAGATAAAGGTTTGTCAATTTTGTTTATCTTTTTAAAACCCAGCTCTTATTTTCATTGATCCATTCTATTGTTTTTCTAGTCTCTTTTTCATTCATTTCCACCCTCAATTCCTTATTATTTCCTTCTGCTAACTTTGGGCTTGATCTGTTCTTTTTCTAGGTCCTTGGTGTATAAAGTTAGGTTGTTTGAGGTCTTCCTAATTTTTTAAAATATGTGTTTACTGCTATAAACTTTCCTTGCAAAACTGCTTTTCTGTATCCTACAAATTTGATATGTTATATTTCCATTTTCTTATGTTTTGAGATGATTTTTTATTTCTCTTTCAATTTCATCTTTGACCCAGTGATTGTTCGAAGTGTGTTGTTTAGTTTCCACATATTTGTAGATCTTCTCACTTGTGTCTCGTTGATTTTTAGTTCATACCATTGTGGTCAGAAAAGATGGTTGGTATGATTTCAGTCTTCTTAAATTTGCTGAGATTTGTTTTGGGCTCTATCAAATGATTTAGCCTGGAAAATACTCCATACGTATGTGAGAACCGTGTGTATTCTGCTGTTGGATAGAATGCTCTGTATATGTCTGTTCAGTCTATTTGTTCTAAATTAAGGTTCAAATCCAGCCATTTCCTTGTCGACTTTCTGTCTGGACAGTGTATCCATTGCGAGCAGTGGAGTATGGAGTCCCCTACTGTTGTTGTATTGTTGTGTATTTCTCTTTTAAGATCTGTTAGTACTTGCTAAATGTGTTTTGGTGCTCAGGTATAAGGAGGATATATATTTATAGTTGTTATATATTCTTGATGTATTGACCCCTTTATCATTATATAATGATTGGGTACACAATATATCTTATACCCTCAATTCAATTTAACAAATAATTTATTGACCACCATGCATGCAAAAATCACGATGCTGTTTTCTGTGTAAGTGGTGAAGATAAATTAGAAAAGTCTCCATCCTCTGGAAGATTATAGTCCTTTGTGGAGTTTAAATATATATACAAATAATATGTTATATATAAGTAATAATATGTTATATAAGTAATAAGTTGTACAGTTTTTAATAAAGCAGTGTACAAGTAACAAATAATATAAAGCAATCAGTAATGCTTTGTACTAACAAAAATTTTGGTAAGGTAGAGACTTACTATTTGAGAACCCTCCATGAGGTAACAGAATAACTAAGGACAAGGGTGGCTTCATTTCTGACATAAATTGTTTCTCAAGTTTTCTTTTTTCTGGATCTTTTAATGATACCTGGGAATAAGCCTCCATATAGCTATTTTTTTTAATACCTTGCATCTTCTGATTAGAACAGTAGGATAAATTTATAATCTCTATTTTTAACTAAATTGATGAACCAAGTCATCTGTAGGTACTCAACTTTCATACATGGAATTTTGGAGGCCAGTGCTGCTACTTATTATATATTAACATCTCTAAACCTCCTTTCATACACCAGACTCAGTTTTTCATGCATCTTCTGACATGATATTTTTGGGATAACACATATCCTCTGCTGGGATAAAAGGCGGCTGAATAGTTGATTCACTGGCAGAGTGTATCAACAGAGTTTAAAATGAAAATCTCACATATTAAAAGGTAGATTCTTCCCTATGTGTATTATAATTTTAAAGACACATGTGACTGAGTTTTGTGATTTAATTCTAATGTGTTTACATGCTTTTTGTCAATGGGTAGATGTTGAGTAGAATTATATAAGGATTCCTTTAGAAAGAAATATATTGCTATTAGTTTTAAAAACTTAAAAGTCTGGCCATATTTTACATAATTTATTTTATTCTTTTTTTATTAAAGAGTCAACACAGACTGTCCAAGCTCTGCAGTATTCAACTGCTGATGGTCCACTAACAGCAAGCAAAGACTTAGAAATAAAAAACTTAAAAGAAGAGATTGAAAAGCTAAGGAAACAAATAAGAGGTAAATTCCTGTGATTCACTGTTAATTCAGTTCAGTAGATTTTTTTTAATGTTTTATTTACATGTCATGTATTATGTGATGTGAGCTATATGCTAGTGAAGGAAAAGAAAATAAGAATGGTTTCCATTCTGAAGGAGCTCACATGTTGGTCTGGGAAAAGATAAACAAATAGTTTTGCAATACATGTGAAAAGGCTGTACGAAAAACAGGTCATCAGTACATAAAGAATACATGAGAGGAGCGTCCAACCCAGACTGCAGATAACAAGGTGACTTTCTTAGAAGACCTATTAGTTTGAGATACCCAGTTGGACTTTGTCTGGCAAAGCATATATATAAATATGGGAAGCAGTGTTAGGAGTGAGGAGGACAGTATAGACAAGAGAATCACATGTATACAGACATCAAGGCATGTAAAAATTAATTTTCTTTGTAACAGTTCATTTTTCAGTGTATTGCTGAGGTTAATTAAAATTAATTTTGACAATTGTTGATATGCCTGTTAAATCCACCTCATTCATTTATTCGCTTCATTCAACAAATATTTATTGATTACCTACTATGTACCATGTATTATTTCAGCTCTTGAGAGGCAGTACTAAACAAAGTTTAGAAAACCCTGTCCTTGCTGGGGTGGAGGGCAAACAACAGACATAAAATAGTTACTGTATGGTTTTGTAAATGGCACAGTATGTGAGAACCTGGTAAGTGCTTAAGAATAGAGCAGAATAAGGTGAATGGTTTGGAAGTGTAATATGAGGATTTTAAATATTTTAAGTGGTTCAGGTGTAAACCTCATTGGGAAGATGTGTGAGCAAAAAATTGAAGTAGGTAAGGGGCTTCACCATGTAGTTAATTGGGTAACACATGCTCCAATTAGAAGGACCAATCAGTGAAAAGCCCCTAAAGTCAGAATGTACCTCATGAGTTCAAGTAAAACACAAGAGGATAGCATGGCTGGAACAGAACGAGCTGGAAGGAAGAATGGAAGGCATTGAGGTTACAGAGTGAAAGGATTGAGAGGACTTGTTGCTTGATCCATACAGTCCTACTGTTAGAAGGTCTTCTTTTTTCTGTGAGTGTACTGGGAACCTTTTGCAGAGTTAAGGCACCACATTATTTGAGAAAGTATAGGGAGAGAGAGAAGAAAAGTACTGTTTTAGCTAGGATCGTCAGGCCTCTCCAGAAATGTAGTTTTAGGCCAAAATAAGTGAAGAAAAAGAAAGAATCTAATGTGGGATCTTTTATAAAAAGGACTATTTAAACTGCCATATTAATACATTGCTTATATTAAATATATATGGGAATTCTAAATTTGAGCGTAATTTATACTTTTCTATTTTTAAGTGGATTTCTTCCTAAGAAATATCTTCCTGAAAATAAGTTAGATTAGGAATGTGATAAGCAGAATTACTTATGTTGCTTTGATAATGATAAAACATTAGTGTCACTGAATGTTCTTTGACACTAAAAAAGCAGTGAAACATAAAATTAGCTGGGATGGTCAGTGATGATGTATCTTCAAAGAGATAATATGAATTTGGAAAACTAAGTCATAAGCCCACTTCACTTAATTATTTGTAGGAGGGTATTTTGTTTGTTTATTCCTTGGGATTTCCTGTATTGACTATCATGCATCTGCAAATAGGCACAGTTTTATTTTGGCATTTCTGATCTGTATTTTTATTTCCTTTCCTTTTCTTACTGCACTGGCTAGAACTTACAAGCACTGTGTTGAGGAGTGATGAAAACAGACATCCTGACTTTCCAATCTTAAGGGGAAAGCAGTCTTTCACCATAAAGTGTAATAGCAGCTGTTAGTTTTTTTATAGATGCTCTGTATCAAGTTAGAAGTTGCCCTCTATTCCTATATTTCTAACGGTTTTTATCATGAATGAGTGTTGGATTTTGTCAAAATATTTTTTTGCACTGATAATATAAACATGATTTTAAAAAAATTAATCTGCTAATATGGTGGATTATATTGGTTGATTTTGAAATAGTGAACCAGCCTTACATTCCTGGAACATGCACATCCCTGGTCATGGTGTATAATTATTTTTATATATTAACTGAGTTCTATCCCTAGTATTTTGTTAAAAAGAATTTTTGCATCTGTATACAAGGATATTGGTCTGTGATTCTCCTTTCTTTGTACTGCCTTTTTTATCTGGCATTTGTTTTGTTTGGTTTTGTTCTTTATTTTTAGATTGAGATATAATTGACATACTAGTTTTTGGAGTATGACATAATGATTCAATATTTCTGTATATTGTGAAATGATCACCATAGTAAGTCTAGTTAACATCCATCACCACACACAGTTACAAATTTTTTTTCCTGTCATGATAAATTCTGAAATCTACTCTCTTTAACAACTTCAAATTTACAATATAGTATTAACTATACTTACCATGCTGTACATTACATTCTCAGGACTTAATTATTATATACCTGGAAGTTTATACCTGTTGACCCCCTTTATCCTTTTGATCCACCCCACATATCTGCCCCTTGCAACCACCAATCTGTTCTCTGTATCTATGAGTTCTTTTTTTTTGAGATTCGACATATAATTGAGATCATACAGTATTTGTCTTTCTCCATCTGACTTATTTCACTTAGCATCACACCCTCAAGTGCCATCCATATTGTTGCAAATGACAAGATTTCCTTCATATTTATTGTAGAATAATATATTCTATACTCCCCACATTTTCTTTATCCATTCATCCACTTACAGATACTTAACTTGCTTCTGTGTCTTAACTGTTGTAAATAATGCTGGAGTGAACATGGGGGTGCTTATATCTTTTTTTTTATTAAGATATCATTGATATACAATCTTATGCTCATGTTTCACATGAGCAGCATTATGGTTACTACATTCCCCCAATTATCAAGTCCCCAACACATACCCCATTAGTCACTGTCCATCAGCATAATAAGATACTATAGAGTCACTACTTGTTTTCTCTGTGCTATATTTCCTTCCCCATGCACCCCCCTATATTATGTACGCTAAACATAATATCCCTTAAGCCCCTTATCCCTCCCTTCCCACCCACCCTCCGCAACCCCTTTCCCTTTGGTAACCACTAGTCCATTCTGGGTTCTGTGAGTCTCTGAGTACTATGTTGCAAATGATAGGATTTTTTTTTCTTATGACTGAATAATATTCCATTGTGTATATGTACCACATATTCTCTATCCATTCATCTACTGATGAACACTTAGGTTGCTTCTATGTCTTGGCTGTTGTAAATACTGCTGCAATAAACTTAGGGGTGCATATGTCTTTTTGAATCTGTGATCAAAAAGAGTGGAATTTCTGGGTCAAATAGTATTTCTATTTTTACTTTTTTGAGGAACCTACATACTGCTTTCCATGATGGTTGAACTAATTTACATTCCCACCAGCAGTATAGGAGGGTTCCCCTTTCTCTGCATCCTCACCAGCATTTGTTATTCCTTGTCATTTGGATGTTGGCCATCCTAACTGCTCTGAGGTGATATCTCATTGTGGTTTTATTTTACATTTCTCTGATGATTAGTGATGTGGAGCATCTTTTCATGTGCCGGTGCCTGTTGGCCATCTGAATTTCTTCTTTGGAGAAGCATCTGTTCAGATCCTCCGCCCATTTTTTAATTGGGTTATTTGCTTTTTGGTTGTTGAGGCATGTGAGCTCTTTATATATTTTCGATGTCAATACCTTATCGGTTATGTCATTTATGAATATATTCTCCCATACTGTAGGATGCCTTTTTGTTCTATTGATGTTCTCCTTTGCTGTACAGAAGCTTTTTAGTTTGATATAGTCCCACTTGTTCATTTTTGCTTTTGTTTCCTTGCCTGGGGAGATATGTTCAGAGAGAAGTTGCTCATGTTTATGTTCAAGAGATTTTTGTCTATGTTTTCTTCTAAGAGTTTTATGGTTTCATGACTTAATTTTAGGTCTTTGATCCATTTTGAGTTTACTTTTGTGTATGGTTTTAGACAATAATCCAGTGTCATTCTCTTACTTGTAGCTGTCCAGTTTTGCCAACACCAGCTTTTGAAGAGGCTGTCATTCCCCACCGTATATCCATGGCTCCTTTATTGTATATTAATTGACCATATATGCTTGGGTTAATATCTGGACTCTGTATTCTGTTCCATTGGTCTATGGGTCTGTTCTTGTGCCAGTACCAAATTGTCTTGATTACTGTGGCTTTGTAGTAGAGCTTGAAGTTGGGAAGTGAGATCCCCCCTGCTTTATTCTTCCTTCTCAGGATTGCTTTGGCTATTCAGGGTCTTTTGTGATTCCATATGAATTTTAGAATGATTTGTTCCAGTTCTTTGAAGAATGCTGTTGGTATTTTGATAGGGATTGCATTGAATCTGTAGATTTCTTTAGGCAGGATGGCCATTTTGATAATACTAATTCTTCCTAGCCAAGAGCATGAGATGAATTTCCATTTATTAGTGTCCTCTTTAATTTCTCTTAAGAGTGTCTTGTAGTTTTCAGGGTATAGGTCTGTCACTTCCTTGGTTAGGTTTATTCCTAGGTATTTTATTCTTTTTGATGCAATTGTGAATGGAATTGTTTTCCTGATTTCACTTCCCGCTAATTCATCATTAATGTATAGGAATACAACAGATTTCTTTGTATTAATTATATATCCTGCAACTTTGCTGAATTCAGATATTAGTTGTAGTAGTTTTGGAGTGGATTCTTTAGGGTTTGTTATGTACAATATCATGTCATCTGCAAACAGTGACAGTTTGACTTCTTCCTTACCAATCTGGGTGCCTTTTATTTCTTTGTGTTGTCTGATCTCCATGGCTAGGACCTCCAGTAGTGTGTCAAATAAAATTCGGGGAGAGTGGACATCCTTGTCTTGTTCCCGATCTTAGAGGAAAAGCTTTCAGCTTTTCACTGTTAATTGTGATGTTGGCTGTGGGTTTGTCATATATGGCCTTTATTATGTTGAGGAACTTGCCCTATATACCCATTTGTT